GTTGTTGGAAGATGGCCTCACTCACAGGAATACCAGTATGTCACTTTGAACCCTCACAGGCTCAGCCTTTCCATTCCTTCCCACAAATCAAAGGATTCATTTAGGAAACTAATTCTGTGCTGTCTCATCTCCTAAACTGTTTTCTTTTCCTTCCTACTATGGTATCTGGGTCACCCTGTGAGGGTCCTGAGGAATGGCCTGGCCAGTCCGAGCCTCAGAATGGGCCTGAGGAGCAACTTGGGCAGGAAGAGGAAATGAGAACGGTTTTCCTACAGCCTGGCCAGGCCTCGGTTCCTTGGGTGGCCACGACCTTCTGGGAGCAGATGAGCACTCTCCTTATTTAGGGAAAATGTAGGAAGCAAAGCGATATAGAAGAAAAGGCCTCTGTCACTCACCCCATGTAACGGCCCAGGAAGGCCAAAGCGATACCTGTCCACATGTCTGTCTTCTCTCTCTCCAGCCTACAAGGGACCCCTCACCTCTGCGCCCTCCTCCGCACTCAGCGCAATGCTGGGTGTGTTGTGGGTGTCCATGTACGGACAGAGAGAGAACAAACAAGGGGAATCGGGCCCTCAGTCTGAGGACTCTCGGGGTCTGCAGACGTGCGTAAAGCCCTCTGCCCAAACTGCCAGTGCTGCTTCCTGTTACCCGCACAGTGCCATTCCTCCTCACCGGAAGCTTGGTGAGAGAGTCACCCAGAGGAATGACCATTTTGTAACAGTTGAAAGCCCTGCTCTGCCCCATCTAAGCCCATCAGTCTCTCCGTTAAAGGGGTATAACAGAAAGAACACCCCACCATCAGCTCTGTCATACACAGGCTGGGTGACCACACATGAATAACTTCTCTGTGTCCTGAGCTGCTAGGTTTCTAAATACGGCCCTAGACAATAAACCACGATAATGATAGCTGTCCTGGGCACCTAGTTCCGGCCACATTTTAGAGCTGTGATCTCACCAACCTTTATTACCTCTCGTAATACCCTCTCCCCGTTCCCTCAGCCTCTCTCCTGCCTCAGCTGGCCAACCTAGGGAAGCATCCTGGGAAGGGACTGGCCCTTGCAGGTTATAGTTCCACTCTTATATTACAGAGGTCTAAGTGAGGGCTGGGTGGCTTCAGACACAAGCTGGTGCCATGATGTGTGCCGTTGAGTCGATTCCAACTCATAGTGACCCTATAGGACCGGGTAGAGCTGCCCCAGATGGTTTCCAAGGCTGTAAATCTTTACGGAGGCAAACTGCCATGTCTATCTCCCGCCGAGTGGCTGGCTGGTGGGTTCGAACCACTGACCTTTCAGTTAGCAGCTGAGCACTTTACCTTCAGGGCTCCTAGCTGGTGCCATATTGAATTTATTTGCTCAAGAGCAGTTAGGACTCAGGGTCAGGGGTGGCAGCAGCCCCTAAGAATTCCCTCTGTACTCACTGCCAGACACACTGTTACCCAGAGCCCAGGAAGACTAAAGTGACACCCACCACAGCAGCGAAGCCCTTACCTGTCCCGGCTTCTCTCCATCATCTGACTCACAGGGGGGAATTCTGTGATTCGGGCTTGCACACTCTGCTCGCCTGAAACAAGAGACACTTCATTCTCTGAGTCCTGCCCTGCACCTGTGGAGTCATCCTGCCTCTCAGAATCTGGCTGTTTCTCTTCTGACCTCTGACCTTCCTCCTGGTCAAGCAAATAGATCAGGCCATCTGCGGCATCTAAATCCACTGTGTCATCCTCCACAAGGTCCAGAGAGCCCAACTCGGGGCCCTGCGGTTCCTCAGAGAGCAGCCCCTCCAACTTCCACTCGTGGCCTGTGGCGTCAGAGTCCTCGGCCTTGCTGTACTCCAGAGAGGAGTCTTCAGCAGTGACCAGGGAGGGTGTGAGGTCCGCGGACCACACCTGCATGTCAGACATCTCCAGCATGGCGTCATGCTCCGTGGCCGCCAGGGGGATGGTGTCTATGTCGGCCACCTCCTTCCAGTACTGGTCTGCACTCAGCGGAGAGGGAAGCATGTAGTGCAGGGAGGCGGGGGACAGCAGCTCGTCCTGCAACGAGGTGTAACCTGGATGGGCAGACAGAGGGC